ATAACATTATCAATTGCGCCAATCTTTAGTTTTAATTCATGCGGCGGATATTCAGAGAAACAACTTTTTTTGGAGTTAGAATGGCTTTTTCTGATAATGTATCTATTTCTTCGGGTAATATTCTTTTTCGAAAGACATCGTTATTTCTCCGGCAAATTGATGCGATTATCTGGAACGAGGTGTCAATGGTGCCTCAAATTAGATTGTGGCTAAGACACTGATGTGGTAATTTTATTTTTCCTTCATCGTTTTATTCTATTTTTCCATTGCCAATTTTTAGTAGGAATTCAGCCAATCCAGATTGTTGGAATGCGCTCGCATGTTTCGTGTTAATAAGAAGGTTTTGAAATGAAGCCATAAAGATGATTGCTTGAATGACGCCTCCACGATTGGTTTCTTGGATGCTTTTGGAACTACGGGTAGCACTTGTTGAAAGTTGCCACCAAGAACAACAATTATGCCCCTAAATGGTATTTCAATCTCTAGTCCAAGTCGAGGCACCATTGACACCTTGTTCCAGATAAACGCATCAATTTGCCGGAGAAAAAATTGTCCAAGTGGTAGGAAAGTAGCAATACCTGACACGAAAACGGTTAGAATCTTTTTGCTTTGTCCAGCAAAAATGTGGAAATGGTTGTGAATAGGTATGTTTTGCCCAAACCGCACGGCCTATTGATGAAGAACCATCGTTCGTCACTATTAATGCATGCAAGAATAGGATCTGCAGCTGTTTTTTGTTCTTCATTCAGAGTTGAGTACAGTTCGGCAACCTTTTGTTTTCATTTTGCGATGTTTATTGTGGTTTCATCAGGTGTTGGCAAAGGATATTTTAGTGCTGGTATAATGATGGTGATATTTTGTCCATAATTGGAGACAGTTCATCTAGTATCATCTTATGCGCATGCTTCGCTTTCTTGTTCTGACATCGTTTGGTGCCTGTAATTGTCCAACATGGCATTCTTGAATTCTTCCTAAAGTGCTGGGGCATCATTGGTTTCGCCAAAACAAATTATGTAAGCGAAAAACGGTTGCTTTTTGATGGCATTTTAAGTAAAGATGTTTCTTGTAAATTATTGCGATATTCATTGTCGTCTTTTAGGTATCCTGGTGCCCGTGCTGCATTTTTATTTTTGCGATACGCACCGATTACTCAAAGAATCACATAGCACCACATTCAAAAACGTTACTAAAATGGTAAAATCTGCCAGGCACAACTACGAAGAGAAACTCGCCAGAGAATGCAAAAGCAACCCTAAACGCTTATATGCACATGTACAAAGCAAATAGTGCGTCAGGAACACCATTACATTGCTAGAAACAGCTAACAGCAACATTACTATCGATAACGGAGATATATGCTCATGCTTGAATAACAGTTTTCATTTGGTCTTTGTTTTGAAGTCCAAAGTTCGAATGCCAAAATCGAATGTAACGCCTATTTTTAAGAACTTAATGCATCAAACTAACGGCGTATCTTGCTCACATCTATTTCATGCAAAATGATAGAAAGCATTCTTCAAACAAGTTCAAAATGATAGAAAGTACTCTTCAAACAAGTATAATGAAACACTGTGTTGCTAATGACTTAATTACTCCAAAGTAATATGGCTTTGTTCATTGCAAGGATGCTGAAAACTGGGGATATTATGGCTGAAGCCATTCATCACAGGCACGCAGTTGACGTTATATACACACACTTTGCGAAAATGTTTGACAAAGTGCCGCATAAACGCCTTGTTCATAAGCTAAGAACCTATGGTTTTCTAGGTACGCTCTTAGACTGGATCTAAGTTTGGTTAATTAACCGAAGTCAACGAGTGGTCATCAACGGCATCACATCTGAATAACAAGCGGTTAATAGTGGCGTACCTCAAGACTTGGTCTTGGGTTCATTGCTCTTTGTAATCTTCGTTAATTACATGCTGGACACCATCAATCATCATATAAAACTGTATGCTGACAATAGTAAAATTATTGGCTTAATTAAAAACGATTTGGACAGCATCATTCTTCAAGCTGACATAGACAGAGCAGTAAAATGGTGACATATTTGGCTCATACATTTCAACATTGAGAAATACAAAGTAATGCATATTGGCTGCGCATGTAACAAGTCAACGCGCAATTACTTAATGGCCAAAGTTTTGAGAGGGCATAATTAAAAACTAGAACGCCAGCTTGTACAAAATTGTGAAGAACAACACAATTTTTTTTTTCAAATAGAGTTGTTGTCTCATGGAATGCATTTTCCAAAGCAGCAGTGAACGCTTAATTAATCAGTGTTTTTATAAACAGCATTACAAAGTAAAATTTTGAGACACAATTGCTGCTTTGTCTGTAGTTTATGTGTTTTATTTTTCGTCAGCATAGAAGGGCCTGGTGTAACACCTCTTAATCAAAATATAAACAGAATTATTGTATATGTTTTTTTTTTTATTACTTATTAATAATAAATAAAATAAAAATAAAAAGGTAAAACACTATTACTAAAGTTAAAGGTGTTTCATATTTCCGGTAAGAAAACAGTTTGAGCTTGTTTTAGTATACTTTTTTTTATTTATTTAAGGTTATCCGAAGATGGAAACTGCCTGTACAGTTCAGCTTCTATTTTAAGCAAATATCTCTAGTTATTGTATTTAGGCTTTTAACTTCGTTTGAAATTGTTTGAAAAAGCTATTTACTATGCGATTACTTTACCTTTTTATTAAACAGATTAAAAAATTATTTTCTAATTTTTCCAATTAGCTAATAATAATTTTTTTGAATTTTCAGATTAATTTAAAATAATTAACAGTGAATCAGCTTCTTTTTTATTTGAATTATTTTTAGGTGCCCCAAAAAGACCTATCTTGTCACAGAGTTCCGCGGAAGTGTATTTAACCAGGAAATTCACGCCTCCTTCTATACTGTGACGCAAAAATATGTCCACAGCTCGTTTTGAACCTAGATCTCCTTCTCCTGCTTATAAAACAAGCCTTTTAACCACTGCGTCACGGCCGCACAAAGCTTTTGATATCGTCAAAGTAAAAGCATTGATCAACTGCCAAGCTAACAATTTTTTTTTTTTAATGTCTAATTGCTTTTTCATCAGTTTTGAATATTCCTAATAGACCTGATTTTGGCTTAGAAAAAATAAAAATAGAATATCCTGATTTTGGCTTAGAAAAAATAAAAATAGAATCTTGATATTAGGATTAACCTTAGACAACATTACTTTACATTACATGCCTCTTAAGAAAAAGACAAAAACCAGAAATAGAGGCCTAACCGTAGACATAATGACTGTATACAGATAAAGTACAAACTCCTATGGCTTATCTTCACGTTGGTGCACTTTGTTAAATAAATTAGGCCTTAAGTTACGCCTAATTTATGAATAAAATAGCCAAGGCAACATTTGTAAAAGTTTCAGTTAAAAAAAGATAATTTTTTTTTTTTAAATGTTGATTTAGGCGCCCCAAGAAGTCCTTACGGTCTTATCACAGAGCACCGCGGAAGAGCATTTAATAGGAAGCTCACGCCTCCTTCCCAACCGATGTCGCATAACTTCTCCAGAAGTGGGGTTTGAACCACGGATTTTACGTTTCTGAGGGAAGTGCGTTACCACTGCGCCACGGCTGCTCTGAGGCAAGTGCGCTACCGCAAGTGCGCTACTATAATAAAAAACCAATACAAAAAAAATTTAGTTATTATTCAATGATATAAAAATCAAAGCTGTTCCTAAAAAAAAGGCGCCCGGGGCATGTCAACCCCGCCCTTGCTACACCTTTTTGGGAGTTGTTTGAAAAAAATTTTGCATCACCTATTTAAAATGCTAGATCCGCCCCTGATACAAAACAAATATGTTAATAAGTACTAAATCGGCGGCATTTACTATTCCTAACTGTCTAAATCTTACGACTGTAATGACAAAAATATCAATGACGTCATGTACTAAAACTCCGAAAGGCTGCATAAGCGCGAATTGGCATATGTGCGAACTGGCATAAGTACGAAGCGTTGCAAAAACTGGCATAAATGCGAACTGGCATATTGCGAATTTTCATAAGTGCGTCAAAACATTTTGAAAGTATTGGCATAAATGCGAATTGGTATAAGTGCAAACTGGCATAAGTGCGAAGCAGTTACAAAAACTGGCATTAGTGCAAACTGGCATAATTGCAAATTGGCGTTAGTGCGCCGAATAAATTTGCTAATAATATTGGTATAAGTGGAAATTAGTATTTCGCACTTATGCCAATTCGCACTTATGCCAGTTCACACTTATGCCAGTTTTTGTAACTGCTTTGCACTTATGCCAATTCGCACTTATGCCAGTTCGCACTTGTGCCAGTTTTTGCAACTGCTTCGCACTTATGCCAGTTCGCACTTATGCTAATGTTTGCAAAATGTTTTGGCGTACTTATGCCAATTCGCACATATGCTAGTTCGCGTTTGTGCCAGTTTTTGCAACTGCTTTGAACTTATGTCAATTCGCACATGTGCTAATTCGCACTTATGCCAGTTCGCGCTTAAGCCATTCGCACTTATGCCAGTTCGCACTTATAAAACTCGGGCTTATTCAGTCGTCCCCTAAACTGTTTAAATAAATTATCAAGTCTGTAGATTGCGACGCACAGTGACTCAAAACAACAATAAAATAGTAACAAACCTCTCGCAGCCTTTTATAAATTAAGTGCTCTTTTTAAAATAATATTTAATTACAATGATTTTTTATTTCAAAAGTAAAAATAATTTTTTCATAAAACTTTTATTTTGTCTTTTACAATTAAAAGAAGTACATTTGATATTATTTTTAAAGTAATGAAAATTTGGGATTTTTAATAATAGTCTTTAATTAAAATAAAAATGTATATTTATTTTCAAGATAATTATTTGACTGTATGTATGTTTGTATGTTTGAGATATATTTTTAGATGGCTTTTTTTTCAAATAGCACGATTGTCACGTGACCAAATTTTGCAGACCAAAGTCTCGGAGTAGAACTTTTTTTCCAAGAAAAGTTTTTGTTATAGAAAAAGAAATTGATTTAAAGTTTTTTGTATATTTTAGCCGATATGAATGACTTTTAATTAAAAAGCAGTGTTGACAACGTTTTTAAAAAAAATTTGGTTAAGAAATTAAGTATGTGAAAGCCATAAAAATAAGTATGTGAAAGCCATGGCGGGATTTCTTAAAAAAATATGGTAATATACTATTATATACTTGTTAAATACCCTCTATATTATACAAGCAAAAATCCAAAAAAGTCAATTTTGTCATTTTTAAAATTAACCTTGGTTTCACAGTCAAAATTTTAAAACTAAGAGACAGTTTTTTTATAAATCTGACTTGTAAATAATATAATAATCAAGCAAAGTTTCTTCCTCATCAATGTAAACATAGTTTAATAAAGACATTATGTTGTTTTCAGGTAAAAAAAATTGTACTGATGCTATGCTAATTTAACTCAGACTTATAAATATTCAAAGTTTAATATAACTTAAAGTAACTAATTTTTTTCATGCTTTAAATTTTTAACCTTATAACTGAAGATTTAAATCACAAAGAATCACAAAGATGCATATTTTGAGATACTTAGTAATTAGCCTGATGATAAATAAGAATAAGAATAATTAATATTAACTTTCAAGAAAGCATATTTATCTTAATATAGTTCGATATGCTACAAGTTAATCAAGTAAATTGAACCTTTTTTTTGTGAGTAATGTGAATTTTCAGAATTTTTCAAGAAATTGTTATTAATAAAAGTGAGTGCTTTGCTCCTTGTTTAATATTCTTTTACTTCATTGATATTAAACATTAATGCTTCAGTGATACATTTGTTTTTAATATAAATGTTATTAATTGTTTAAAATGTTTGCTTTATTACTTAATTAACTATATGTTTTTTTTTTGTTAACTAACTGATTGTAAGACATAATTAGAAATATATGGTTGATTAATTGTGAATGTTTTTTTTTTCTTTCTTTTAAATGGTAATTTAATTAGTTTTGTGTTTTGGTACACTTTAGCATTGACCTTGCATAGAAAGCTGTCTGAGTTTCATTCTGAATTTGATTCTCAATTGAGAAAATCAAATTGATAAAATATTCATAAAACTTGATATTCAAAATGGGTCATAACACTTGATATTCAAAATGAGTTCCAACTCAGCTGCACATTTTAAAACTTGAAGATCCTTTTCAGGAATAACATTTTTAAAGACAATGTAATATATTTTTGGTTTGTATAGGTTTGTTCATAATATTTACACAAAACCTTGACATACCTTATAAAAGGTGTGAAAAAATATATATCAACCTTCAGAATAAGGAAAAATGAGGTTGAAAATAATTTGTCGACCTCATTTAAGAGCATCAGGTCAGCATCAGGTTGGCAAAAAAAAAATTTAATACAAAGGTCTTACCATAAAACATAGATCCGAGGTTGGAAATTTTTTTGTCGACCTCAAATACTCATATATATATATATAATATATATATATATATATATATATATATATATATATATATATATATATATATATATATAGGCATGACTGATATAAGATATCAGTACTGTCATCAGTACTATCTTATATCAGTCATGCCTATAGTAATTTTTTTTTTTTTTTTTTTTTTCATATAGTTGGAGGTGCCTTAGTTACTGTATTAGCTCACCTGTAATCTACGTTATATGTATGTTTGTGTTCTGTCTGAACCTCTGGCGCGGTGTTCGTTCACCCGTAAGTTACTTTATGTTCTTTATGTATGTCTGTGTTCTGTCTGAACCTCTGGCGCGGTGTTCGCTCACCCGTAAGTTTTTTTATGTTTATGTTTATGTTTTTTATGTTTTTTTATGTATGTTTGTGTTCTGTCTGAACCTCTGGCGCGGTGTTCGCTCACCCGTAAGTTACTTTATGTTTTTTATGTATGTTTGTGTTCTGTCTGAACCTCTGGCGCGGTGTTGACTCACCCGTAAGTTGATTTATGTTTATGTTTGTTTGTGTTCTGTTTATACTCTAATGCAGCGTGAGCTCAGTAACTAACTACTTACTCCATCTACAAAACCTACACTCACCTTAGACTCCTGTATTTTATTAGATGCAGTGTTTTTCCTAATGCACTTCCAAAATATCATGCCTGGTTTTCTCAAAGCACTGTTGCTGGAAGTAACCCCTTTTAACTACTCCAGGTCAGGTCAGGATAATCGAGATCAATCCTGCTACTGGTATCACGTAACCCAGTACCACCTGCCACAAGCCCTGCTGCCTTGCAGAGTGTGCTCTTCTTAGACAAAGGCTAGGAGAATTAAACTCCAACTAAAAATTCTCCTGCCTTGGGGCTCTTGGTTGAGTAAAGGCTAGAGATGGTGTCTCGATAAAAACACTCATCTTGGGCAGATGTTAACTGCATCCAGCTACTGTCTTGTAGAAGGGCTCCTAGGCAAAGACTTTAGGGGTAAACAGAAAAATTCTGCTAACCAGCCTCGAACCCCTTCTTCATCTATTAGGCTGGCGTAGATGTAACCTGTGTTACATTGTTTCCTGCCTAGGATGATGAATGCTGGATCTCCTTGACTCTACTCATAGAGTTTTGCTTATGCCTCCTTGATAATGGCTATGCAACTCTTCCTGTTATCTCCATATGAGGGTACAGCTCTAAAACTCAGTTTAATGGTTCTGAGGCCGGCTGGTAGTAAGGTTTCCTGAACTCTGTGGTAGCTCTCAGAGAGGCTGATTCCATCAACAGCTGCAAAATATCAGAGTATTAACAGTGCCATGTTGCGCATGGATGGTGTCCCTGTTAATGCTTTTGGTGTGTATTGTCAAGGCCACATAAGGAGCCCTATGTCACGGCTTAGGGTTAATTAACAGGACTGAGACAACTGCATAGCTCATTGATTAGGAGGCTGTGCTCTATCTATGAATGAGTCAATTTCTCATTAAACCCAATCATGACCAAAGTAACCAATAATTTGAAACCTAAAAAACCATCCCCACCACCTAAATATTTTAATATATCTTTTACAAGTATTCGCGGTCTACGAAGCAACTTTCCATCAGTTGAGTCTTACCTCCTGCAAAATTCACCAGACTTGCTTGCACTTAGTGAGACAAATTTAAATTCTGCAATTCCTTCTTCAGATGTCAGTGTTGATGGGTACTATCCTTTGATTCGTAAAGACTCAAATAGTCACATGCTAGATTTAGGGGTATACATACGCATTAATTCCCCTATTTGTCGTGAAATCAGGTTCGAATCCTTTGACCATTCTTTTATGTGCTTTCGCCTAGCACCTCTTCACTCTATCACCTTTCTCTTTGTTCTTTATCGTTCTCCTTCTTCCCATGATTGCACTCTCTTAGATGTTATCTCTGATCAAATTGACCATGCCCTCTCTCTTTACCCCTCTGCCAATATTGTTGTTGTTGGTGATTTTAATGCCCATCACACTGAATGGCTTGGCTCTAACACCACTGATCCTGCTGGCACTAAAGCCTTTAACTTCTGCGTTTCTCAATCTCTTACTCAGATAGTTAACTTTGTGACTCGTTTTCCTGACAACCCTAATCATTTACCTTCACTCCTTGACTTATGTCTTGTCTCTGACCCTAGCTTATGTTCAGTTTCTCCCTTTTCTTCCTTAGGTGGTTCTGACCATGCAATGATCTCTATAAATCTTTCTTCTCGTACTTCTTTTTTGGGCTCACCTTATCATCGCACCACCTACTACTACTCTAAAGCTGACTGGGATTCCTTTCGTGATTTTCTTCGTGATGGTCCTTGGGCTGATGTTTTTTCTCTCTCAGCTGACAAATGCGCCTCCTACGTAACCTCCTGGATTCAGGCTGGAATGGAAGCTTTTATTCCTTCGCGTCGGTTTCAAGTCAAGCCTCATTCTACTCCATGGTTTTCTCCTTCTTGTATGGCTGCTATATCTAATCGTAATCATTTTTTTCATCTTTTTCAAAAGAACAACTCTCTTGAGAACAAATGGCTATTTATTATTGCAAGAAATCGATGTAAAAAGGTGCTTTCTGATGCTAAACTCCATTATTCTCAGTTCACTAAATCTCGCATCTTATTGCAGAAGTTAGGCTCTAAAGACTTTTGGAAAATCTTCAACAGCATTATTAACAAGGGTAGATCTAACATTCCATCTCTCATTCATGGGACTGATCTTATTACCTCTCCCAAGGATAAGGCAAAACTATTTGCAAAGAACTTTTCTTCTAATTCCACTCTTGAATCTTATGAACATTCTCTTCCTTTCATTCCAGTCAAACAGGTTGACCCATTGTTAGACATTCAAATCACTCCGGCTTCTGTTGCTAAAGTCATATCTCAATTAAACTCGTCTACAGCTTGTGGTCCAGACAACATTCCTGTCACAGTCTTGCAGAATTGTTCTCCAGAACTTTCTTCAATTCTCTCTAAACTATTTAACAAGTGTTTGACTGAGTCTTGTTTTCCTGCTTGTTGGAAAATGACATCTGTGGTTCCAATATTCAAAAACTCTGGAGAAAATTCTAACCCCTCCAATTATCGTCCGATCAGTCTTCTTTCTGTTATTAGCAAGGTCTTTGAGTCTTTGATCAACAAATTCCTCACATCTCATCTTGAGTCAAATAAACTACTGTCAGACAATCAATACGGTTTTCGATCCTCTCGCTCTATGGCCGACTTGCTAACTGCTGTAACTGAAAGATTTTATCGTGCATTAGATGGAGGCGGTGAGGCTAGGGCTATTGCTCTCGACATATCTAAAGCTTTCGACAAAGTTTGGCATTCTGGTCTTCTCCATAAGCTTGCTTCATATGGTATTTCTGGGAAAGTTTTTGAGATTATCAAATCATTTCTTTCTAACCGATTTATTAAAGTCATCCTTGAAGGCCAACACTCTTCTTTATTTCCAGTAACTTCTGGGGTTCCCCAAGGTTCCATCCTGGGCCCTGTTTTGTTTCTTATCTACATAAACGATCTTCCTGACAACTTTTCATCTAAAGTAGCTCTTTTTGCTGATGACTCAACTTTATACTCCTGTCTTGACAAAAAGTCTTCTCTTTTCGATCGCCTAGAACAAGCAGCTGATCTTGAATCTGATCTCACTTCAGTAATAGATTGGGGTTCACAGTGGCTTGTGAATTTCAACTCTAAAAAAACCCAGTTGCTTACTGCAAACAACTACCGTAATATGGTCA